ATTCCTGCTTATTACAATATCGACTAGCTGAGGGGGTTTCACACATAGTCACAAGTGACTACTCTTGCCAGCATGCTCCAAGTTATTACAAGATGTTTTTAGACATTTCATCTAAAAGAGCTTTACTGCTTTTAGTGAAGAAAACAGCGATGGTCTTGAACTGTATCATTTATATGGAGATAGGAGGAGGGATTAGAAGCCTGCATTACTGCAGATATATAGCAGAAGATATTTAAGTATTCCTTGTCAGTCTTTTTGTCTGTTACTTAGATAGGCAATCTCTTTTTGTGTCTTCTGAGAAAAGGTCGCAACACACAAAATTATAAATACATGGTATGAATTGACTGCTGCATTTTTTAAAATGTCACTCATTAAAAATATTTCCTCCTTGGTCAGACCATTTTCACACTATTTGGTATAGGAAATATAAAAACCACACAAAGATGAATATGAACAGTGAAAAGTTCTCCCTCCTTTCTAATTCCAGTTCTTTGGTTGAAATAATTGCTCCTTTTACCCAGGCTACTCTACTTCACTCAAGCACTAAACAATAGTTCACACTACAAGCTCTACAACAAAAATCCCCATGCTGAGACTGCTCAGCAATGCCCAGCTCTTCACATGGCAGCTCAGAGGAAAGCACATCAGTGTAATAAAACACATTCCCCCCCCACTCCTTTTGCATTACCTGCTCCTTGTGTTCTTCTTCCTTGTCACCTTCTGCTGACAGGTTATCCTCTTGAAGTGACACCGCACTTCTAATTTCCCTGCCGTACCATGCCTAAATGTGAACAAATCCGTTTCATTAAACTGAAGGCAAAAAAAATCCCCCACTATAAATCAACAAATACTACTTGGCAAATTGTGCACTTTTAAATGTAATGTCCCAGCAGCATTTTTTACTTGGACTATAATTAAAAAGTCAAGAGATCCCATTTTCTCTTAATTTTTCCACTCCCCTGAACAAGCACACAATCTTCTGCAGGTTTTTAATACACATTTATTCATTCATTCATTCATGTAATCTAGAATCCTACAAAATAGTAATAACTTGTTGACTCAAATTGATTTCACCCCAACTAGTATTTGTAATGTGAAATTATTTCTGCTGTATCCAGACAATGACTCAGCCGCTTTGGGATTCAATGAGCTTTAGAATTTGTTTTCCACACATCATCTTACAACTCATTGAGTTATTGTAAGGAAAAATATATGGCAGATGTTATAAAAAGCAACCCAGCATGAAAGGCAACTTGCTGTAGTGTTACTAACAAACAACTGCATAAACTGCCTGCACCTCCACTACATTGTTTAATTGACCAGATGTAATGCATTCATAGGAGGACTACTGCTTAAGAGCCAAGCACACGCAGCACCTATAATTAATCCTGTTTGTTAGTAATTGTAAACCCCAATAACAAGTTACATCGGCCCTGAATGAAAGCACTTCAACACCTATTCTGCACCAGGTAATATGTATGAAAAGAAATCTTTAAAACAATTAACCAGCTTTGCACTTTACTCCAGTGGTGCAGTCAGCAAGTCTGCTATTTTTCCAGAGAATAGAAGCTGTTCATAAAACTGTAAACGTGAAATTTTAAGAAACAAAAACTAACCACACTAGAATTAAAAGATGCTCAAAAAAACCCTCAAATGTAACTACTGGATTTTTCTGAAGGCCTAAGTGAATTTACTTAAGAGTCCTAAAAATTACTGGACAAACTGCAGGCACACAAACATAGAAAAAAGCCAATTTCTCAAAACAAAAAGAAGTTTTGTCAGCTACAGCCACATAATAAACTGTGTACATAGTCATGACAAAGCACTCCTAAAAGGCATTCTCTCTCTATGAAAAAATGAAATAGTAATTATTTATTTCTGTGTATGATAGATTAAATCATTACACGCTCCATAATTCTTATGCAATCCGCAGCAAGAGGGCTTTTCATAATGTAGCATAGAGGGTATATAATCTGTGTGCTGCTCAGCAGCTCACAAAAACGTAAGTCTAACCTGGCACAAATAAAATGAATGGCACAGAAACATCAAAATGGAAGCCATGAATGGAAACTCTGCTTGCTGATCTACCCATGGCACATCTGTGACTCACATCAAGATGTCACAAAAACCAAGCACGAGGCAAACTGGTGTGCATTAGGCTTGGCAAGAATAAAAATCCTTAAAACGAAGAGAGGAGACGTAGCATCATGACATGCCCCCAGTCCTGCCCAGCTCCAAACAAAAATTTTATTTAAAAAAGAAAACGGGGGAATCATGCATAGACCCCCAGGGATAGTCTTGAAACTACACATTATTAAGCTGAAGCAAGGAGAAAGTGTTTTTCTTTCAGTCCTGTACCACTGTCATCCAAGGGTGCTGCTGCACATTCACATTTTCTAGAACTCGGACTCAGGATTTTTGTAAGACTCCTGTAAAGAAGATCCTGTCAAAGCCTTACTGTCTCAGATCAAACTACATGTGTCCCTGAACACAAAAGGAAGGAAAACAGTACACCAAGAACACTGTTCCTGTTTAAATTCAAATTACATTTCAGAGAAATAAAAAACAATCACAACTGGGTTTTAGACACTCACACAAGAATAAGTGCTGTGCCAGAACCACATTGCAGAGGCTTAAAACACCCCAACTAACTTGTTTCCTTCCCTCCTTTATTCCACCGAGTTAAAAAAGAGGAGGAACAGAAACAGCCCTTGCCACATATTTCTGAAGAATGCTGCTGCTCATGGAAAGCGGATATAAACACGTATCTGCCTCTTCAAAAATCTGACTCCATACGTTAGTTGCATGAGCAGATGCCACAATTTTATTTTTTAAAATCCAAGATAATTACCAATCTATACCACTTCCCAACATCTCAAATTGTTCTTCAGTGAATAGCAAGAAAACATATTATTACAATTCAAAAATCTTCTGTGCTTGGCTGTTTCTTACAGTAGCCTATTAAACTAAAAGTACATCAGTCATAAGCTACAATTAAAAAAATATACTGTCTTTTATAAATGGATCCTGATAACGTTTGTTTCAAACATTAAGACATACAGAAATCTCTTTACTAGGACAGAGGAGTTCCATCTTATTTCTGCATTAACTATAAAAAAATACAATTGCAGCTGTTGAATGGTTGCTTTCATTTGTCCTCATGAGTTTTTATTTTTTTTAAATGTAATGGCTATACATGTACGCCACAGTAATTTTAAAAAAATTTGTAATTTCAAAACAGAACAAGCATGTACTAGTTTGACAGCCCCTTTCATAAAGATATTTCCTAGATAAATCACTAAAGAGGGACCTCAGAAGTTAAGTTCAAAATTTCCAACTCTGACAGCACATGGTTCAAATGTGAGCAAACGCACAAATGTTACCAAAAGCCAAGATCTGAACAATGCAACAGGATGCTGGAGGGAGTAGTGCTTTCTCTGACCACTGCTGAAGTATTGCTATATGACTGTTATAGAGCTAAGTGGGTGCTCACTGTATCTTAGCTTTAGTCCAGATAATTCAGAGTAATTTGTTGTAACTGAAGTTATTTACTCTTACACTTCCTTTGCTGATGAAAACAGAGCAGCAAAGTAAACATGGGGAAGACTAACTATGGCTATTTAGGGTGTTCACACCAGCAACATGTATTCATCTCCATTAAATGTATTTGGGTATTTTTAAGTCATAAAACTCTTATTAAATACTGTCTTATAACAAAGTCTTGATCAAAATATTACAACTCAAGTCTTTTTTGTGTCCTAACCTAGACACTGCTGGTTTATTATCTTATCGCTAACACTCCAAATACATGACCCATTTCCACATTATCTCAGTTCTCCCTCGCTTCCAGGAGAGTCGGAAACGGAGGGCACTTCACAGTAGACCAAAAGTAGAGTTCTGTGCTGACTACTCTGCAGCTGCAGGAGTTTCAGTTCATTTCAAATTTCCAAACGTTACCACTTTAGGCCCTCCAAAACACACTTCACTAACATCTGAAGTCTTGACATGCATAATACTCAGACAAAAACAATTTAGCAACCCTGTAATACCAGTAAACACTAACGTATTAAGTCTTATAGAAAGTTACTTCCATCTTCTGAATCATCCCTGAACCTGAGGTTCTCATATGAGCTTCAAGTCGGTCAAACTCCTTTAAAAAGGTCTGGTTTCGCAGAAGAGCTGCTTTTTGTCGTTCATCCACTTCTTTCAAGGATTTTTTCAGCTTCATATATTTTAGCTTCATTCTACAGGGGAAAAATAAACTGTACTTAGAGACTTTGAAATTAAAACAAACACATCTATTACAATAACTTCAGACACATCCATACTGACACTTATGCAGGAGATGCCCCCCCAAACAGGAGCAGAAAAATTCTACTGCACCACTGTCCAAAGCTACATCTGACAGGATAACTTCTATGTCACTTCAGATGTAAACAGGGGGGGTGGTGTTCAAAAGGAGAAAAGTCTCTTTAAAAACTCTTTTAAGTTTGTTTCAAATTAATTTTAGTCACTTAGATCACATTAAATCAAAACAAACTGTATTTAGAAGAATGTGCTCTGAAAGTCATACAAACAGTAACAACCAGGCTGGAGCTTCACCACTGCTTTGAACCAGCCTAAATCCATGCTGCACTAAATGGGGCATCACAGCCTTTCATTTTTTTGTGCCAATACTGCCTGCTTTGTGGCCACATGGCCAAGTAGGCCAAGAGTAATCCAGCTGAAGATCCACCTAAAAGCACATCTGAGGAAAGGAGCACTGGATAAGACATTTTCCATAACTCCTTTGTTGGTTTGGGCTTTGTTGTTGGGTTTTTCTTTTTTGTTTAGATTGTTGTTTAGGGTTTGGGGTTTTTTTGTGTTTTTTTTTTACAGATTGTATATGCAGTTTACATTAAATAGATAATGCAGAAACAATCCAAAGAACAAGACCAGAACCTAGAATATCCTCTAGAACTTTCTAAAACTTTCACACATTCTAAGACCCTAGGACTTTGTAGCACAAACTATGCTACAGTGATTTTATAAAAGTTGCATCAAACTAACTTGTATGTTAGTTATTACTAAGATTATAACATTTCAGTATCAAGAGAATAAGTTAGTTATGTTATTGCTGAAGTTATTTCATTGCTGACTTGGAGACATGAATCTTACATTTTACCTAACTTATGAATATAAATTTGTCATTAAAAAAATATTAAAGAGAACTTTCTAAAAGCTTTCCATGATACCCAAGTCTGTAACTAAAATAAAATAAGCTATAAGAAGCTTTTAAATAGGCTTACAGGTATGCATCAGATTTTCTGTATTCTACCAGTTTTCTTTCTAATTCCAGCCTTCTGGCTTCACTGGAAGATAACAAACAAAGCATATAAAGACAAAATTATTTCACAATTCTCAAAATGCAATAAATAAAGCATTTCACAGAGCATAACCTTTTTCTGAACAGAGAGTACAACTTGGCTATATTGGTAGTCTTACAGATTGATCTACCAGCCAAGCTTACCCCTCCCCCCAAAAAACCAAATCAAAACAAAAAACAACTTCAAAGCTTTTACTTTTCTCTCTGTTCCTCACTGGAACAAGCAATTGGCTGTTTTAAAGGTAAAAGATGCCTAAATTTGTATATTGCCACAGAAGACCCACCAAAATAGCCAGATATTTCTGCCCAGCCCCAGTTGCTTTTCCAGGCCTCCTTCTCCAGCAGCGCCTGGAAGGGTTCTGAAATTCAAGACTTGCAACCCACAAGGTCATCTGGTCCTTTCTTCCCCCTCTAAGTCCCTGAGCAGACCACTTTCCATGCAGGAAATACTAAGCTGAACTTGCTCAAATGTACACCTCCCTAGAACTTCTCATAGCAATATATCAACACATTAAAAGATTTTTAAAAATCCCAACTGTTTCCCAGCTTACAGACTCAATGTGCTATCCAAGCATTTTAATTAACAATTTTAACTTTAAAATCTAGTGAATGTTTCATACTTTTGCATTAAAGCCAAGTACATCTGGAGATATGTTCACACTACCTAACTAAAGGGTAACAGATGCAAGTACCATCAAAAATATTTATGGCTGTGAAAGTACTATGGGGTCATCAGTATCTGCCAAAAGCAATATAAAGGTATATATCCATGGGGTTGATCTGATAGCTTAACAACAAACTTTATGCCTCACCTACAATCTTTTTCAAAGAGAATCTATTTTCAGGAACAGAAAAGAGTAAAGCTGATACTATTTAATGATTACAAATTGCATCTAAAGATAAGCAACCACTTCATGAGCAAAAAAAAATAAAAATCAATTTTTAAGACAGAGGCTTCCAGCAGATTGACATTACAAATGCCAAAACAATCAAAGCAAGTACCCTAAGTTGCTTATTGAAGAATCTCAAATCTTTATTAGCCAGGAAGGCTGTACATGTGCAAGTGATGAGACCTGATCCATGAGCTTGCCTGTACCTGTGTGGCTAGGTGTGCTTATCTCTGGATTTGTGTGCTCCCCTACAAACATGTCTCTGTCAGAGGCACTCACATTTGCCTCCTCCCAGTTGTCCTGCACAGAAGAGAGCAAGAAAAAAAACAACCAACACACCTCCTGCTTCTTAGTCTGAGAGATCAAGATCAAGGCATCCATTTTACACATCTGATCCTGCCACTGTCTGAAACAAGATTAGGTTTTCATGTCATGCATGCAATTTAAAAGCTACGCTTCAACTGGGATCTCATCCTTTCAATTTCCTTTTACATGACAGACAGCTAAGCAAAAGCAGATTTCAAGATCTTGTTTTTACACTTAGAAGTAATTTTCATGACTCAATGAAGAACACTGATATCCTGATGGATGTAACAGCCAATGGATGTGAACAGCCATTGGCTCCAACACTATTTCCCATTCTCTGATACCAAAGGTAGCACATCACATTACTTAGCTCCTGAAGGATAACTTCCTCTCTACCAGCATGGTTTTCCAGTATCCCATTAATTAGTCTGCTGCAGATATTTAGACAGCACACAAATACCTAAGTAAGGTCTTCCCAAGGCAAAGCAAAGTGGTATAAAAACCATCAGGTAAGAGCCTCTCAAGCATTTGAGTACCATTGTTACTCAAATGCCCAACGAAGCTACTGCACAGCTCTGGGTGTTCTGCCACACAGCTCCACCCAAGCACCGAATTAGGGGCAATCAAGACCTCCCTTGTGGATATGCTTGCCTAGGTTCTGGCAAAGTTCCAGCAGTTTTGCTGTGTCAGTGGCAGAAGCAAAGCTTGAAGCAGTGCAGGGATCAGTCTGGCCACTCCACTGCACCACCACCTCCTTTGTTACATGAGAAAACAAAGCTCTTGGCCTACAACTCTACTTGTTCATGCAGTTTTGCATTACGCTGCAGTGGTTTAAACAGCTAGATATCGACTTTTTTCTTAAATGGGCAAAAATAGCACACTTCAGAACTTCTTAAGGATCCAGGTGGCTGATTTTCAAACAACCCTGAATCTTCAGTCTACAGAGAAACTGTTAAGTTTGGGATTTGAAAGGAGAATTAAACTCCCTGGTCAACCACAAGCTCTCTGTAATCTCTGGCATTTCACCAAGAATCGATCTGCAGTGATATTTGATCCCTCACCTCTCATTTAAAGCAGCAGGACTTAAAGGCCTCAATATTTTTTGAGATACCAGGCCTTAGTCTCTCTGGGCTTTCGTTCCACATCCATAATGTAGGAATAACAGTATTACTGTCATAATACCCTGTTGAGATAAGTACACAGAAAATTGTGCAACACTTGGGCACAATGCAATCTTCCCATAAAAGTAAGAAATACTATTTTTACTGTCGTTTTCCTACACCCATCTGACATTAAATCAACTGTTGAGCACTGAACTGAACCAACCTTATAGCCTGGAGCCTGGCCAGAGCCTGTTGAAGCCTTAGCCAAGCATGCTGGTGTCCTGGGCAGGTTAGAGGAGTCCTGCTTTGCACCACGTTCTACACAAAAACTGGTAACAGCAAGTATTTCTGAAATCAATAATCCTACCTGGTTTACATTCTCTGTTCATGATATTCCAGTATATGTTTACTGCAAATTGCCCTTAGCGTGAAGCATCTGGCTTCACAGTCTGAAAAGCCAAGCTAATTGCAAAGTTAGTCACAGTATTAAGTACAGTACTTAACTATATCATTAATTTACTTCATCGCCCTCATCAGAAGCGGCTGAAGGTTAAGTGCTGAGTAATCACAACATGTTCCTACAAAAAACAGAAAACAAACTCCCTACCCCATTTCACTTTAGACACCTCGATAATTCTGCTCACAACACAGATACTACAGAACTATACACGCAGTAATTTTTATATTTAGATTTCAAAGTGGGACTTTAAAAGCTGAAATGCTCCAGTGATTAAAAAAAATGTTCATATTTTATACTTCAAAAAGTTGTTTAGATAAAGGGTATCATTTTGTGAAATTCTTAAGAGGCAACTCCCTCTGCAGCACCGTTCCCAGAGGCAAAAGCAATGCACAACTTGCAGTCTGATGTAAAGATAACCCCTAGTTGGTGAACACCACCAAGTACAAATACATCTTTTATCTTATATTTTAAAGTACATACAACAGAAGTGTGCCAGGCAGAAAAGGTCTATTTATTGTCACAAACCCTGTGAACCTGGGTCTCCAGACGAAGGACAGCTCCTGCAATCCTGCCATCTGCCTGCCTGTAATTCCTCTTCCCCAAATAACTCCTGAATCTTTTAGTGCAGCTGAATTAGACTGAGGAGTTGACACCTGAAACTTAATAAGTTCCCAGAGGTTTCAGAAGGGCTGAAAAGGGGGTAGTCCATTTGTGCACTGTGAGCTCAACCCTAGCTCAGACAACAGAGAAACTACAAAAGAGGTGGCCAAACTTCATGCAGATCAGGCTCTTGGGAAGCACAAGACATCCCTGCTCCTAACAGAGTGATACCTGCACACAATTTAGAGCAGCATGCAGTCTAGAACACTCAGATTTTAATCTGTCTTGTCCATTTTTGTAACGGCACAACTTCCTAAAAAATGTCTATACAAAAAGTCTGTACGTTGTATATCCTTATCCAAGTTATTCTTGTTTTGTTTGCCAGTCGTCTGCCAGAGCAGACCAGGATATTACCAAAGATACACACAACATTTTTGCAAAAGTGCAAGTTTATATTCTCACCACCACGGTCTTATTACTTCTGCTTATACCAGTTTTGAGATGCTACAGCGAGACCCAGAAATCAACGTCTTCTGTACTAAGCAGAAAAGAGGTACTGCTTAAAAAAGGGCCTCACAACAGTATACCATCAATGACCTCGAGATATTTCCTCGGGCCGGGAAAAAAGAAGTGCTGACACCAACTGCGGGTATTGCAGTGAGGAACAGGCCGGGAGCAGCACCCATTGCACAGAGCTTCTGAGGACCAGCCCGGTGACAGGGATTCCCCAGGCCACACCCTCCCTCCCTTTCTTACTGACGGTGAGACCCGCCCGTGAAGCACCCACAACCTGAAACACCTAAAATAACTTGTTTTAAAGCCTAAAACGATGTCTGTAGGAGAAACACCTGCACACGCCCACTCATCAGCTACCCAGCTTTGAAACACCGGCATTTCTGTTGCTCTGCTGAAGTAGGAAGCGAGGCTGCCATCGCTGCCGGGAGCGCTGCCGAACCGCTGGGCCGAGCGGTGCCAGGTGCCCGGCGCCCCCAGCTCTGCCCCGTGTGCCGGCACAGCAGCCACGCCGCACAAGGCCCCAAACCACGGCAGCCAGGGATGACCGGCGAGCGAGC